TGCACCCCAGGCCTCTGGCTCCCCACCCACCCACCCCCCGCATGCAAATTGAGGCAAAGGAGAAGGACGAGGGGCTGCCACCTGAAGCATGACTGCCGAGGCCTTATCACAAACAGGTGGCGTACCTCGGCTTCTATGTCGCTGAACGACCGGACGCCCTTCAAGGGAGCTTGTTCCACAGCCGCGAGCAGGACCTCCCGGTAAAAAGCTCCGGGGGAAGCAGTTACAACAATTTAAGGGAATTATAGGCGATCTTCTGCCTTTAAGCTCAATTGTTATTTTGCTCAGTTACATGAAAACTAGAAATTTAAACACACAAAAATGGGGTGTGATTTTAGAATTGTATCGCAGCAAGAGAAAAAGCCATTGCTCCATCGAGGGGGTAGGCAGGATTAGGGTGGGGAAGGGAGAAGCTCCGACTTTAGACTACAGGGAAGGATGCTTGCATTACTCTGCTGTGCAAGGCTAAAGAGGAGAGAGGGTCCCATAAAATTGTTGATATAACTGAGAGTTTAAAAGGTCAGTTTTCTTGGGATTTGGAACACTGACCCACTTTTACTGCTTTGATGATGGCCGGGCTGAATTCTGCAGAATTTCCCCTTTCTCTACATCCAAATTTATTCCATGTTTCGGGGGGGGGGTACATAACAGGGCAGAACATCCATAAGCATGTTTTTCACCCCTTTCTCCAACAGGGACAATTAACTCTGGATTGTACGGTAGTGTTTGGCAGACCGAAAAGAAGCAGGCCTGCCTCTCTGTCTCGGTTCCCAACCTTCAACCACATGGACAGCACCCTGGTGATCATTTCACAAAGGTCTGTGTATCAGGATTTGGCTGCGCTCTGCAGATTCGCGAGTGAAATGTCAGTGGCAGCCGCTCGCTCCACCGATGGTAAAGCAGCTGGCAGCGAACAGGAACTATTATCAAGCAATTTCATTCACACCAGTAAAACGCGGGAGACGAAACCTGATAGATTAGATATTGTGGAGAATTCTGTTTGCAGCCGCAAGGCCCCGGCTGAGCCAGGCTCTTCCCTGTTCTGCAGATACAGGCTCTCTTGCCAATGCGAAGAAAGGCCATTCCCTCGAGATCTTTCTTTTATGACGGGGTCGGGGAGGAGGGGGAAGGCCTTCCCGGAGGGGGGGGGAAGAACTCTCCTTTCAGCTGATCACAATGCAGAGGGTCCGGCCAGGTCCCTCTGCGGGCAAAGGTAAAGGACAAGGTGGCACCTATAGGCACGCGCTCACTTCCAGACCCACACACAGGCCGGGGCCACATTTGGTAGCCTGGTCTCACTGCAGCGATTGTGGCTGGACCCCCTCCCACAGGACCCTGGAAGGCAGTCTGACCCATTCTGCAGAAGGCCACCTTTCGGAGAGCGCTCACTCCTACAGTCGCTGCAAGTCGGAGGCGCATCCCGACAAGAGCAGAGTGCAAGAGCCATATCTCGGTCATCAGTGGTCAATTAGTCTTTTATACATATAGATAAACGAAAAGGGAATTTCCCCTCCTTCAAAAAAAAATTACTCACAGTCTGTCAGGAAAGAGCCTTTGAACTGCATCGAACTGTTCCCAAAGCAGCATCCATTCTGTAAAGAAAGAGAATATATTCAAGCATGAAAGGAGTCCCATCTTGTTCCAACGCAGAACAAATAGTAGCCACAGCAACAGTCCTAATCGGAGCCGACATTGCCTTTGATTCATTTATTTATTTATTTAAATCATATGTACCCCTCCCGTCATCAGGAATTTAGGGCACCGAACACACAATTCCACGTAAGGAGGCCATGAAAGACCAAGTGCAAAAAGATAAAAGCAGGAAACAAAAACTAAAGGACTGCCCAGCAGGCCACTGAAAGGCCACCCGTGTCTTGCCTCCCCCAACCCGCCCAATGGCCCCGGTGTTCGCAAAGTGCCCGCATAGACACATTTAGAGAGGGCACAGTCCTCCGTTTGAAGGGTCGCCCATTTCGAATCCCGTCTGAAGGTCAAGACCCGTTGGGAATGGCAGGGAAGGGTGACCATGGTGGAGGGGAGCCAGGCAGTGTGCCAATGCACGGCACTTTCATCTTCTCCCTTCTCCCGGGCAACAGGGCTGTAACCCAGGTCCTGAACATCCCCGAAACTGGAAGGGAAGGGCCCCATTCTTCGTGTCAGTTTGGGAGGCTCCAAACCATCTCGCTTGATTTTGCGGGTGGAGCTTGGATTTTCTGCATGCCAGCAACGTGCAACCTCTACACCCCCTTCAAGTGTCCAAGTGGGGCACAGAGGAGCCCCCGCCTACCCTATCCGACCAGCCTCCACTCAGGGGGCAGGAAGGGCTCTCGGAGCCCCCTCTTCCTCCCCACCCACTGCTTATCACCCGCTCGCCGTCTTCCGAAGGAAACACTGAAAGGCTTCGTCAAGGAAGGAAACGAGAGCCACCCAATCCTGTATGGGCTGACTCAGGCAGAAATGCCACTGATTTCCAAAGTGGCCCCCCCCCCCCCACGAAGGAACGCAGCCCAGGCATGAGACCCATCTTGCTCTTCACTGCAACCTGCGAGCACCTCGCGGAGCAGAGAGCTACGTTCTGGGCCACACGAGTTTAATGCTCCACGCTGAGAAGGAAAATGGTATGGCGGTGGAATTAGGTTGTCCTTCTAGCCGGCCCACCTCAGCAGAAAGAGCTGCAGGAAATCGCGTGGAATCGCTTTCTGACCGAGCAAGGTCTCCCAACATTATTTACTGGCATGGGTTTAAAAAAAAAAAAAAACAGAGGGAGAAGCGAATGGGGAGGCATTGCATCCCATGTTTCATAATAATTAAATGCAATCAAACCACAGCTTATATTTCCAGGACAACTATGCATTATTTAAACCAAGGTGCGTGACAGCAAAGTTAGAGTGGCTAGGCAGGGTGTAATTAGTGTGCCCTATTTGAACCCAATTATATCAAGCTTTATATAGATACGAACAGAAAGGAGACAGAGTATCAAATGGGTGGGGCTGTATGTGCAATATGTCTGTCTGTCTGTCTGTCTGTCTGTCTGCCTGCCTGCCTGCCTGCCTGCATGCATCTTTTCCTGATATAAACATGATCCTATGCTGCTTTTCTTAACACACATGCTTTTCTCATTTTTCTAAAATCCAAAGTAAAGCAACAACCTTCAGGGCCACTTTCCTCCAATCCATTTACCCAGAAAGTGTGATCTAGAGTGGTTTGCTTCAAAATGCAGGCTAAACAAAACTCTCCAGTATCCACAGAACAAAGCAGGGATCCCTGACTGTTTGGGAGAGCAGGAGGAATGGGAGCCTTTAGGGGCTGGAAGGAGGGAATCGTATTCCACTTTTCTCCACATGCAGCTGAGCTCACAGACCTGGTAGTGGCCTCTTTCTCTCCCTTCTCCCTCCTTATGTAAAGGCCCCGAAGAAAGACAAACCAGACATCCTCCCAAAAAACAAAAGCGGTTCAAGGGCAAACCCCCTCCTGGATGGTTGGTTCCTTCTTTCACCTCTGGATAGGAAGCAAAATTTGAGGGATGCAAACTTATGTGGGAGGCTCTGATGTACAAAATGTTCAGCTCGGAGCAACGGCAGTTCCCGGCCAGTCAAAATGACAGAGCGGGTAAATTATGCATGAAACATAAAACACTCGATTGTAAAAGATTTCTGCCCGGTCTTTGTACTTAGATTAGTGTTCGACGTGACTGTCTAATGTTCTTAGTCTGGTGGGTGAAATGGAATGAATAAAATCCCAAGGTGTTGATCAGAACTTGCTGGTGAACTCAGTTCAAGGGGCAAATGTTGATTGACCAAGTTCTGAACGACTTGGGGCCAAGATCGCAGAGCGATCCCCTTCTCCCATACAGGCCAACCCCTGGACTCAGAGACCCTTGAGAGAAGCACTTAGGGTTGCCCACCATCCTGGGCCATCGAGGTTGGTGACCCCATGAAGCCCTTGTTACACTTCACCTCCTCTATGAAATGGTGGAGTCTTCGTTGCCTGCCAGAAGCACAACAGCGGTGGGGCCACCTCGCGACCCCTTGGGCAGGAGTTCCATTGAAAGCCCTCTTTTGAAACCAGCTTTTGACATGGGTGTCAGTCTCTTTTATTTTTAATGACGTCTCCATTTAGTTTCTCAATTGTTTTCTAAGGACTGTTTTAAAGGAATGGTTTCATCTTTTCTGCTTGTGCATCACTCAAGAAGGCCCTCATGAGCTAAGATGTTATCAAGAAATACTCCTAGTAAATAGGTAATAGATAAATCGCGTTGACGGCAACAACAACAACAACAACAACAACAACAACAACAACAACAACAACAACAACAGGAGGAGGAGGAGCCGTTGTTCCAAAATTAAACGTAAGATTAAGGCTTCAAAGTCAAAACTAAGCAGGTCAGTTCAGTGTGATGCCATGGAAACGAATGCCTTCCCTGGATCAGGATGGCTCAGTCCAGAGCAGTCGTCAAACCTCAATAGATAAAACCTCAAGTTTGTGCATACAGTTGAGGTCACCCAAGGATTTCTGCTCTGACAGAAACAGCTTTGTGGGGCCAGGTCACAGAGACCAGACATCTAACCACCTGGGTGACGTTGGCTGGAGACACCAAGGGTTAAATCTCAGGGCGTTGACATCCAGGGAACTTGTTCTTGTCTTCTAAGCGCATGTGCGTTGACCCATGGGTCCTCATTTGTCCGTGAAGTTTTCATAGAATCGTAGAGCTGAACAGTGAGAAGGGACCCTCAAGGGCTAGCTAGCCTTTTTGTCAACGCAGGAACCTACAGCTCAAGCACTCCTTGTCATCCAGTCTCCCTTTAAAGACCCCCAGCAAGGAAGAGCCTGATCCACCACCAAGCAGCTCTTGCCAACAGGAAAGCCATCCTAACATTTTGTGAGAATTTCCTTTCTTGACATTCACATCTAATGTTTTTGGGCCAAGTTTGCTCCAGCTTCCAAGACGGCAACAACAACACCTTCCCCAGCGTGAAGGGCAGGCACCATTTGAACCCGAACCCACAGCATGACAAAGGCCCTAAAGTCAGATTCAGAAACCTGATTCAGCTTCCCCACCACCACCACTCCGGCCCCTCAAAGACAAAAATCAGCTACGCAAACACAAATGACACGGCCAATGTCACATCCAATGCAGCTCTTAGCGTGATGGACAAATTGCTCCAGCCACGAGCAACAGGAGCGTGGCCGAGAGACCCCACAGAGCCGAGGAGGCGAGGAGAAAAAGGGGCAGCTCAGGAGAGGAAGTACTGTACCAACCACGTGGAAGAGTCAGAGGCCTCGCTGGTTGAAGGCTCCCCCTAAGAGCACATTTTATCGAATATCCAAATGCAGCGGACGTCACTGTCGGGTCAGGCCTCCCTCTGCAAAAGATGCTAAAAAGAATTGCGGACCATGGGAATGTGCCTTCCACAAGGTTATCTGAATCAATGTCACTTTAATGTGTTTGCTCCCATTTATTGCAAAGTTCAGTGCTGACGCCCCCAAGGAAACGACAGCGGGAGGGAGCGCTGCCATTTCCAAGGTGCCCGAGATCCTTTATATACGCACTTTGTTGGCAAAGATGTCAGAAGGGGACCTTGGGGGACCACATCCTGTCCCTTGACCCACCCACACATAAATTTAATTTGGAGGCACCCAGCCCTGTTTTCCAACGGGGGGAGGGGGACGTTGCGCTTCGGCAGCAAATCCCAGACTCCTGCATCTCTCGCAGACCCCATTTGCAGTTCAGCGGTGAACCTCTGCAGATTGAGGAGGGAATCCATTTTGCCCACCCTGGCTCCTGGCATTGCAGGGGAAATGCACATTCCCTGCAATCCCAGTTCAAAGCTGCTCTAAACAGGGACCCAGGCCAATTGCTACCATTAGGTAGAGGGGGAGGCAATGGAGTCCAGGGACTTGTGTTAATTTTACTCCCCTTCTCTCTCCCCCCCCTTGGGGTGGGGGTGAGGAAGATGGTTGGTTCACTGAGGAAACCTGGCAGCACCCTGTTTCAGGGGAACAGGGGACCTCCTTGAAAAATCCAGGCCCATGGTTGGCATGACCTCGCCTGCACCTGCCGCTCAAGGAGCCGCTACCGGGGCCATCGTGAGCACCGGCCACTGCCAGCCACGGTGGACGAAGGTGTGGAGGTTCCACTGTGAAAAGGGCAAGGGGTGGCGTCAATGACGGCTGGTGAGATCCCCACACGCCTGAGTCCAGTTCTTGACTCAGAGACAGTCCCGTCTCCTGTTGCCATTTGGCACACCCCACTGAAAGGGGCAACGCACCTCTCCCGTACGGCCATTCACTTAAGAGTGAATATACCGTATTTGCTAGAATTTTATTTCATTTTATTTTGGGACGGGAGGAAGCCCTTTGCCGACATGAATGCAAGCGTCTTATTTCTCCACCCTTTTTGCTGTGTTCGCGCGACCCTGCGTATCATTCACAAAGCGTTAATCCCTGTGAACATTTTTCCATTTTGGCAGTATCATCCTTTTGAGCGGTGATTGCTTTTGCTCTTAACAGAGAATTTTCCCTTTCGTGGCTCATTGGTATTCAAGGGGAAAGTCCTGATCACCTCCAGAAATATTTCTGGTTCACGGGACGA